AATGATAAAGAATGTTTTTGTAGATATAAAATCGATATTTTTTTGAAAATAGCCTACTATGCTCGAAACCAAAATTGATTTAAATTGCATTTTAAAACATATCCAGGTATTATAAATGATAAATAATGCTAATATAGATATAAAATCGATATTTTTTTGAAAATAGCCTACTATGATCGAAACCAAAATTGATTTAAATTGCATTTTAAAACATATCCAGGTCTTATAAATGATAAAAAATGTTTGTATAGATATAAAATCGATATTTTTTTGAAAAAAAAAACTACTATTATCGAAACAGAATTGATTTAAATTGCATTTTAAAACATATCCAGGTTCTATAAATGATAAATAATGTTTATATAGATATAAAATCGATATTTTTTTGAAAAAAGCCTACTATGATGGAAACCAAAATTGATTTAAATTGCATTTTAAAACATATCTAGGATTTATAAATGATAAAGAATGTTTATATAGATATAAAATCGATATTTTTTTGAAAATAGCCTGCTATGATCGAAACCAAAATTGATTTAAATTGCATTTTAAAACATATCTAGGATTTATAAACGATAAAGTATGCTAATATAGATATTAAATCGATATTTTTTTGAAAATAGCCTACTATGATCGAAAAACCAAAAATGCTTTAAATTGCATTTTAAAACATATCTAGGATTTATAAATGATAAAGAATGTTTATATAGATATAAAATCGATATTTTTTTGAAAATAGCTTGCTATGATCGAAACCAAAATTGATTTAAATTGCATTTTAAAACATATCTAGGATTTATAAATGATAAAGAATGTTTATATAGATATAAAATCGATATTTTTTTGAAAATAGCCTGCTATGATCGAAACCAAAATTGATTTAAATTGCATTTTAAAACATATCTAGGATTTATAAACGATAAAGTATGCTAATATAGATATTAAATCGATATTTTTTTGAAAATAGCCTACTATGATCGAAAAACCAAAAATGCTTTAAATTGCATTTTAAAACATATCTAGGATTTATAAATGATAAAGAATGTTTATATAGATATAAAATCGATATTTTTTTGAAAAAAGCCTACTATGATGGAAACCAAAATTGATTTAAATTGCATTTTAAAACATATCTAGGATTTATAAATGATAAAGAATGTTTATATAGATATAAAATCGATATTTTTTTGAAAATAGCCTGCTATGATCGAAACCAAAATTGATTTAAATTGCATTTTAAAACATATCTAGGATTTATAAACGATAAAGTATGCTAATATAGATATTAAATCGATATTTTTTTGAAAATAGCCTACTATGATCGAAAAACCAAAAATGCTTTAAATTGCATTTTAAAACATATCTAGGATTTATAAATGATAAAGTATGCTAATATAGATATTAAATCGATTTTTTTTTGAAAATAGCCTACTATGATCGAAACCAAAATTGATTTAAATTGCATTTTAAAACATATCTAGGATTTATAAATGATAAAGAATGTTTATATAGATATAAAATCGATATTTTTTTGAAAATAGCCTGCTATGATCGAAACCAAAATTGATTTAAATTGCATTTTAAAACATATCTAGGATTTATAAACGATAAAGTATGCTAATATAGATATTAAATCGATATTTTTTTGAAAATAGCCTACTATGATCGAAACCAAAAATGCTTTAAATTGCATTTTAAAACATATCTAGGATTTATAAATGATAAAGAATGTTTATATAGATATAAAATCGATATTTTTTTGAAAATAGCTTGCTATGATCGAAACCAAAATTGATTTAAATTGCATTTTAAAACATATCTAGGATTTACAAATGATAAAGTATGCTAATATAGATATTAAATCGATTTTTTTTTGAAAATAACCTACTATGATCGAAACCAAAATTGATTTAAATTGCATTTTAAAACATATCCAGGTATTATAAATGATAAATAATGCTAATATAGATATAAAATCGTTTTTTTTTTGAAAATAGCCTACTATGATCGAAACCAAAATTAATTTAAATTGCATTTTAAAACATATCCAGGTCTTATAAATGATAAAAAATGTTTGTTTAGATATAAAATCGATATTTTTTTGAAAATATCCTACTATGATCGAAACCAAAATTGATTTAAATTGCATTCTAAAACATATCTAGGATTTTTAAACGATAAAGTATGCTAATATAGATATTAAATCGATAGTTTTTTAAAAATAGCCTACTATGATCGAAAAACCAAAAATGCTTTAAATTGCATTTTAAAACATATCTAGGATTTACAAATGATAAAGTATGCTAATATAGATATTAAATCGATTTTTTTTTGAAAATAACCTACTATGATCGAAACCAAAATTGATTTAAATTGCATTTTAAAACATATCTAGGATTTATAAATGATAAAGAATGCTAATATTGATATAAAATCGGTATTTTTTTTTGAAAAAAACCTACTATGATCGAAACCAAAATTGATTTAAATTGCATTTTAAAACATATCTAAATCTTATAAATGATAAAGAATGTTTTTATAGATATAAAATCGATATTTTTTTGAAAATAGCCTACTATGATCGAAACCAAAATTAATTTAAATTGCATTTTAAAACATATCCAGGTCTAATAAATGATAAAAAATGTTTTATAGATATAAAATCGATATTTTTTTAAAAATAGCCTACTACACTCATAGAAAAAAAGTAACAAAATGTTTGTAACTTGTATGGAAAATGTTAACAAACAATTCGTTAAAATAGTGTTTACGAACTTATTTGTTAAATTTAACCAAATTATTTGTAAGGTTGAATTGTTAACTATAAAAATTGTTAATTTAACAAACTTTTTGTTAAATTTTTTTTTACAGAAAAAAAAAACAAATTTTCGGTTAATATTAACCAGAAAATTGTTAATTTGGTCACCCATCTTATTTTAAAATGTTTTCGTGGTTGCTTAACTTCTAAATTCCTGTTGATGATCCGCTAGTCCGCTGCTTGTAAACTTTTAATAATAAAAAGATGATTCAGAACCAATATAAATAATTCTTTAAAAAATATATCCAAATTTTAAAATTAATTAATGAATAATAAAATAGAAATGTAGGAATTAAAAAAATGAACAAATTTAATTTTTAAATTACGATTTGGTTTGTAAATCATTATTTTCCAAAACAAATTACAAATAAAAACATTGTAACAAATGTTTTGTTAAAATTAACAAATTAATTTGTTAAACAAAATCAACAAAATTCAATTTAAAACAGTTTTCTTGTTAAAAATAACGCAATAAATTAATGGGAATCATTTGAAATTAATCAAACAAGAGTTTTGAATACAAGAATTAAAATTTAATTAAATCAATTATCAACAAATAAATTTGTTGATTTAACAAACTCAATTGTAAAATTTTTAACCAATAGTTTGGTTGAAATTTTTTTTACCCATGCAAACTTAACCAATAATTTGTTAAACTAGTTTAACAAACAAATAACAAATATTATGGTTACTTTTTTTCTATGAGTGTATGATCGAAAAACCAAAAATGCTTTAAATTGCATTTTAAAACATATCAAGGTATTATAAATGATTTAGAATGCTAATATAGATATAAAATCGAAATTTTTTTGAAAATAGCCTACTATGATCGAAACCAAAAATGCTTTAAATTGCATTTTAAATTGCATTTGGGTTTTAAATGGTGATTGCTTTTAAGGAACACTTCCAAATAAATCCATTTCAATTTTGAACGACACTGCTGCATTAATGAACTTTTATCAAGATTTCCAAATTTATTTATCATTATGTATATCATTTATGTTGACTGAGTATGACGAGAAGACACCATTAAATTCAAGCACATCCTACAAATGTTTTTTTCCAAAATTTATTCACGATAAAGTTTACAGAATTTTGCAAAATTGTTTTGAGAAATAAAAGAAAGAAGAGTATTTTAACGAAGTTTATTGTGTATCATCTATTTGGGACTGAAAACAGAACGTAGTTCTTGAATGCTTTTTTGTTCTTGTAATATTTTTTGAAGTTGGTTGCATTTTTGAAATTTCTTGATTCTTTATAAATATTTGAGTCGAACCATTTTTCATTACTCTCAGTTCATGTCTTCTTCGAGTTATTTTTGTCTTAATCTTGATTCATGCCTCTAAAAACCCGATTTTGATTTGTTGACAAAATGTGCCATTGCTTTCTACGGCAAAAAACACACAAATTTCAAAATTTGTCAAAAGATTTCGCACAAATTTCAACATTTGAAAACAACTTATTCTAAAAATCAATTTTTGAAGGACTTCCAATCACTTTTCGAACGCAGAAACTTTTGAAAATTTGTTTTTCAACTCTGATGGGGTAAGAAGAATCATTTGTTGAGTCCAAATAATTAAAAATATGAAAACTTTCATTTTGTATAGGATTTTGAATAATTGAAATTTAAAGCTATAAGAACCTTCAACACTATCCAAAATGAAGTAGAAAAGTTTTAATAACTGCTTTACAAAGAACTGCATGCAAATTTTTTCTATAAATGGTTTAGTTTAGATGATTTACATTTCATTTGATCGAACAAATTTCAACATTGTACAAATTTCAACATGGTTTACCCTAAATTTGATAAATTCTAATAATTTTGAACGAAGAAAAGTCTCAATGAAAGTCTCGAAATAAACAGTATCAATGAATATTACAATGATTGCAGTTTTACTATTATTGACAATATATATATTATTTTCATTATAAATCATCCTTCCTTCATTCAGTTTATTTTGTTTTTGTTTTCATTTTCTTTAAACATTGACTAGCTGAACAGCATTGATCATTTATACTAAACTTATCTACAATGTGAGGGTTACAAATACACTCAGTGCTACTATTATTTTCACTTATATCTAAATTGATGTAGTTTTAATTTTCAACATCAGTCAATTCCTGTACTTTAAGGTGTTAACAGTGCAAACAAAAAGTTCTAATTAAAAAAAAAAGATTAAGAATGATAGTTGCTATAGTATCTCTATTTGTGATCCTCTGGTGGATTTTTAAAAGTGATTTGAGAAAAGTTCAGCTAGCATGGAATTTTCCAGGACCTAAAGCATTGCCAATTTTTGGAAATGGACTTGAGCTTGTAAATAAGACAACGCTTGAATTTGTACAAATCATTCATGGATACATAAAAAGTCATGGAAAGTTTCTCAGAATTTGGATAGGAAATGAACTTGTTACAATTTTTATGGAACCAAAGGATGTTCAACAAATCTTAACGGATGTCAAATTAATAACAAAAGCTAATGAGTACAAATATTTAGAACCTTGGCTTAAAACTGGCTTATTAACTTCAACTAATCAAAAATGGATGCTTCGACGTAAAGCATTGACACCTGCTTTTCATTTTCAAATTTTAGATTTATTTATTGAAGTTTTTGATAAGCAAAGTTCAGTTTTAATTGAAAAGTTAAAAGTGCATGATGGAAAAGGGCCATTCAATGCATTTCCTGTAGTTGCACTTGCAGCTCTAGATGTTATATGTGGTAATTAAATGATTATAAAAAAATTGAATGATTTGCATCAATTTATCATCATTTATTATTAATTATTATAGAAACTGCAATGGGAGTATCGTTAAATACGCAAAACGGTTCGGAATCTCAATATGTGAAAAATGTTAATGAGTAATTATTATTCTGAATTTTTTAACAATTAAAAAGGAAGGGAATGATGTTACATGGAATCAAATTATCAAAAACACTACTTAATTTTAATTATTATTTCTATGGAAAACAGGCTAGCAGATATAGTACACAGACGATCATATGATATCATTGAGCGATCTGAAACACTTTTTAAGTTTACAAAAACTTACAAACGTCAACAGCATTTAGTGTCAGAATTACATAAGTTTACAGATTCCGTTATAAGTTCAAGGCGCGACGAACTGAAAAATAAGAAAATATCGAACAGTTTAAGCAATGATGATGAATCTTTTGGAAAAAAGAAAAAAGCTCTTCTTGATCTTCTTCTCGAGACAAAAATTGACGGAAAATATCTAACCGATGACGATATTCGAGAAGAAATTGATACGTTTATGTTTGAAGTGAGAGACTAATTTATTATTATTAAATAATATTTCAATGCTAATTAAAACGAGTTATTTTTTTTCATTGTCAGGGTCATGATACGACTGCAAGTGCACTTGCTTTTACATTGTATAATATAGCAAAGCATGAAGATATACAAGGAAAATGTTACGAGGAAGTTCAAAACATATTAGGAAGTGATGGTAGATTTAATATCAAGTATAATATAATTTTACTATGATCACGGATTGATTAGCTCATGGAAAAATATATAATTTTCGTAGGACTTTGAACGAAATGACATATTTAGATCTTGTTTGCAAGGAATCTCTTCGATTATATCCAAGTGTGCCAATTTTTGGAAGAACGGTGCCTGAGGAAATGAAAGTTTGTATGTATTTCTTTATCTCCCTATGAGTTTCTTAATTATTTCCTACCTTTAAACATTCATTTTAAAAGAATTCAATCCCAACTTAATGATTTTCATATATATCCATTTTTATTAATAAGATTCTATGAAATTTCTGATCAGGTGGTAGATTGCTTCCAAAGAATACTTCAATTTTGATTGTTCCTTACTTTATGGCAAGAGATTCAACAATATGGGATAAACCAGAAGAATTCATTCCTGAAAGATTCGCTGGTGCTAAAGATAGCGACGATTCAAATATTTTTGGTTATGTTCCCTTTTCTGGAGGGTACAGGTAAAATGATTATTTTGTAAATTCGTAAGCTCGTAAAATTTACATCACTTATTTTTATAGAAACTGTATTGGACAGAAATTCGCCATGTATGAAATTAAGACAACAATATCGAAAATAATTTTAAACTACAAAATAAAGCTAGAAAAAAATTTCAAGCCACAAGATTCTCTAGAACTCGTAATTAAAAGCAAGAATGGCATAATGATACAGATTGAAAGCAGAAATTGATAACCAAATATTTATTAAGTATTAAGTTATGTATTTAAAAGGTGATGAGTTTTATTGTCAATTATTTTATAAGAAATTATTAAATAAAATATTTTTATACTTTTGTCATTTTAAACTTGATGTCTCCGTCTGGAATATTTACAACGCCAGCCTTGAACTTTAGGTTTGGAAGGTTCCATTCTAGTTTGTAATCGCGAATTAATCTCGAAACTAAAACTTCAATCTCCAAGTTTGCTAATCGCTTTCCAATGCAAACCCTGCTTCCAAAGCTGTGAATAAAAAAATTCTAATATAGTTTAGTTCCTCAAAAATAAATTATGTAAAGTACCCAAATGGCAAGTATGAAAATGGTGATGCTTCGTTTGCATGTGGACATTCAGCATGAGTTTCTCCTTTCAACCATCGTTCAGGAATGAATTCAGCTTTCTTTGTATAACATTCTTGAGATAAAACAGCTACTGGCATCACAATATCAGTTCCTTTTGGTACGCGATATCCAGAAAGCACCAAATCTTCTCCTGCTTTTCTTATTGTACCTATTGTTTGATAATAATTTTATTGATGATGATATGTTTAAATTTTCAAAAATGACCTGCAGTTGGTGGACAAAGACGTAATCCTTCTTTGATGCAAGCTCTTAAGTATGGCATGTTTTGCATATTTTTTGGAGTCAAATCGTCATCTTCGTTCTTTAAAATCCCTCTAATTTCTTCCCTTAGTTTGTCCTGCTTATCTTGATTTTTCGCCAAACAGTATAGAATCCCAATAGACGCTGAGCTCGTCTATTAACGACATAAACAAACATTATATTACGTAAATGAGTAATAATTATATTCAAATTACTGTGTCGACTCCGGCAAGTAAAGCGTCTATAAGATATAAATTTTATATGAGTAGGTTACTAGGAAATATAGTACAATTATTGCTAATTCATGTTGACTTACCTGTACACATTACTACGGCAAGATTTTTATCGATTTTCAATAGCTTCTCTAAAATGCTTTCTTCTGTATATTCGTTTGATGATTTCTGTGGCAATTCCTCAATAGCTCGTTCTACATAATACAGCACAATGCTATGAACAAAAAAGATGTTAATCTAGTTTTTATTAGCTAATAAATTAACTTAATAGATACTTTGTAATGTCATCATATATCTGCAATAATCCCTTGAAAGCTTTCGTTTGATAATACTTCCAAATTGAAATATTTATTTCGAATTGATAAACTTCAATGAAGAATTTACGGATAGACTGAAACATTTAAATAAAAAAACATTACTTTTTATATCATATATGAATGCTTGCAGAGCCTCAATTAAGATCTTTTAGTCGAGGTTCGACTAAGGTACTCTAAGTTGTTACTGAATTGAACAAGAGGTCATACCTTAATTAGCTTTTCAGCCATTTCATCCTTATATTTTCCACCAACAATTCCAAGTTGAGTGTCTAAACTGATATTTGCTATTGATTCCAAGCTCCACATATTCAAGTAATCGCTAGTATTAGACGGAGTTTCTCCATTTCTATCAATCTTCTCAGCCAGCGTTTTAATGAATAATTTGGTGACATTATCAACTCGAGGTACATATTGTTGAATAGTTTTAGGTGGGAGCAATACTGGATTAAGTAGCATTCTCATTTTGTGCCAATCTTCACCTTGCCTGCATTTTAAGAGACATTAGACAATATTTATTATCATTATAAAAATGTTCTTATCATTACTCTGTGAATAATCCACCGTAAACACCATAAATGTCAGAACGGAATTTCTGTCTGTAGTATTGCAAAGTTTCTAAAGTTCGTCTGTGTGGCATAGCACCTTCATGACGTAAAACCTTTTTTTGATTGATAAAAAAATATTCCTGATAAGCGTTCGATCTTGTATTAAAAGGTTCTTAACATTACTTTTTCAAAGTCATCTACATTGTAAGTGCATAACATTGATGGTCTACCAACGATTTGAGGGAATTCCACAACCGATCCATACTCTTTGTTAAGAATTCTAGAGATTTTTAAGAGAGCAAGAGAGAATGTTAACTTTTGGTTTGAGCGAAGATTTAATTATATGAAAATAACCTGTGAAGTTCCATCAAATTTGCGTTTCGAAATTTTCCTAATAGTTCAAAAAAAGAGTTTTAAAAAATTTTAAGATTTTGATTATAATCGGCAATACCTCCAGGCAAAAATCCTCTTATCAACTGAAATTTTGATAATTTTGGAATATTTTCGTAAGGTTTTGCATTGTTCCATTCATCTTGAAAATTCACTTTTCGAGCTGCTTGAGTAGAATAAAAAAATATTGAACATTGAACATTGCTCAAATGGTTATATTGTCTAATGTTCCGGAACATCGCAGCTAAACTTTTTGTTCTAGATTGCAAAAAAAAAAAGAATTACGAAAAACTTGAGTAAATAAATATTTGATCTGTTGAATTAAAAATCCGAAATCAAACTGAGTGACTTTATAAAGTGAACAGATATGAATGAGAGAAGAAAATAACATAAACAAAATTATTAGAGAGTAAGACTCTTGCGATCATAAATGATATTGTGAGAGAGCTTGATTTTTTTTTTATCAAGATCCGTATATTATTGACGTTCATGAGTTGATTTGTAGGTATAATATGAAAATTAAAAATGTTTCCTATATTCCCACTAAGGAGAAGGTATAGAGTCGAAAATTCAAACAAAATAAGTTTACTTTATATATAAATATCTCCAAAAATTTGAAAAAAATTCAATAAATTTGAATATTAAGAGCTTTCTGGCATCAAATTTCAAAAACTTTCAGTTTATAAACTTATTTAACAGCTTTTGGCGCACACGGATAATTATTTGTAATATTTTATAACAGTTATGTCACTTTCGATAGGAACAACTACATTCACAATAACAGTACATTTTCTACGCGCGCGCACATGTTTCAGTAATTGCCATATGAAAAAAAGCTGGAGAAACATTTTCCAAATATCTTTTTGAATGCCTTAACGCTGGCAAATATTTAAACACATTATTCTATTTTGCTTTTTTACATGAGGAGTTTCTCTCTTTATGTATTCGTGTTTTTGCTGCTCTTAGTTTTTAAGTGTACATCAAAGAGTTGTGTTGAATTTTTGTTTGTTCGTACAAAATTTTTTAAGCAATCATTTTAAGAAAAAAAAATATTTAAAATTATTGTAAAGTTTTAGTGAAACATTAAAGAACATAAAATAATTGAAGACTAATAATAGTGTTTAAAAAAATAATCAATGCAAGAACCATAGTTATTATCTTAGAAGAAATAGAAAAAAGGAAAATCACATTAAGAAAAAAAAGGAAAAAGGAAAAGAAGAGCTTTAAAGCTTCAAAGTTTTTTGTGTATAAAAAAAGTACATAAATATCTATTTTACTCAAAGGATTAAGTCATCTACCTTTAACAAGGCAAAAATGTAAGAATGAATGGTAAAAAATTCTTTATACTAAATACCAAAAATACTTCTCAACTGTTTCTTTTCTTTCTTACCGTAACACACATACAAAAAAAAATCATTTTTCAATGAAGATAATTTTTTGGGAAGAGAAAAAAATGAAAGACAGAAGAAAGTTTGTGTTTCCATTTCGCTTAGTGTTACATAAAAAAAAAATCGGGAAAACAATTGGTACAGTCGAAGAAACAAAGTTCCATAAATGTTCACAAGAATGACTTTTGTATTACTTTTAAAATACTCCAAAATTTTCAATGAGTTCAATTGCTGGCTGCTGCTAAAATTAAATGATGTCATCTTATAATTTACATATATCGACATCCAGCAAATATTTTCTGCTTGCCTTCTATACATGCTAATTTTAAAAAAATGTAGATATTTTTGATAAAAAAGATTAAATTAGTAATTATACACACGTGGGAGAAGGAATGTGAATGTATATGCAGTGTAGAAAAGAACTTGACTTCTTTTATGGGCTGAAATATTTTTGCAATGTAAAATGTGAGCATAAAAAAGAAAGCAGACGAATAAGTTACTGTACTGTGATGATTAATGACGCATTCTTGTAATTGTTAATTACTTTTGAAAAGTTTAATGCTGTTAATTAAATCTTTATTTGGGATTACTTGATGACTATTAAGATTTTGTGTTTTTTTCGAATAATCAAGGAATTTCTAATTCTATAAAATTTTTGACAATCAAGTCCAAAAATCGATTGACAACTGAAAAAAATATTTAACCTGATTAAACTCCAAAAATTGAGGCCTTAATCAAATAACTGAGTATAAATTACAAACAATCTCATAACGCTAAGCAATGCCTTAAGAACCAACTTTCAATACTCTACACAAAAAGAGTTATGAGCATGAGCTAATTAGATGAGAATTTGAAATTTTGTCTCATATTTGAATAAGCACAACATTAGTATTGAATAAGTTATCCAAAGTGAATAATGAGCATGACAAATATAAGCTAAAAAGGCAATTAAAACGTAGCAACAGTAGTAATTAATAAAAGAGTGAACGAAATTGAGTGAGAGAATACGAGAATATTATAATTTGACCCTGAGCTTCTATATGAATGCAAATATGTAATACATAACACTCATACACATTGAATTATATATGAATAGATGGCACAAATATTAATGTGCAACTTTTCTGCACAATTCACTATACTAAAAGAGTATGGGTTTACGTAGGTGGGCTTGTAAACTGAAAGTAGGTGAAAGAAAGAACATTTGAGTTTATCTTCATTTAGTTTAGTCTCTTACACGATGATAATAAATTTGCATTTTTATCAAAATTTTTTTTTTTATAAATTCTGCCGTCATTTATTATTATGTGAATTTAAAATGCAATAGAACTGAGTTTTGAAACTAAAAGCATATGAGAAGTGAAAACTTAAATATTTAGTTGAATAAGAAGAATACGAGTTTATCTTGGAGCATTTCAATATCTTAATGCTGTTGCACACTTTACTCCTTGTAGCAACTAAGTTAAACATTCATGAATGTATTCCTCTCTCCTTTATTAGCCTCAGCAAAAAATGTCTCCTTCTCACTCTTTATCTCTTTCTATTCATTTCCTTTTTTTCCTTTCATTGCTCATACTAGAATCATTAAAAGTTGAAAATCTTCATTCATACAATATTATTACATATTTTCCTCTTCTTTCTTTCATCTTTCCCTAGCGTATTTTTCTATCGAAAATCTATTTCGACTCATTTTGTCTACGACCTAATATTCTGTTCTTTCAAATGGAACTAATGAAGTTTAAACAATTTCAAAACTGTTAACATTTGTGGATGGTTTTTTAAACAACTATAATTAGAAAGCTTTTTTAAGATTACGATTAAAAATTGAATTTGTCAGAAAGATTCTGTGCTTATCCTCCTTTTTCAAAAAACTAACGTCGTTAAGAAATAAAAAAAAAAAACATTAAATAGTTTTAATGTCGAATATTATTCTCAAGAGGTCTTCTAAAATTTTCTTTTTTAAAATGATTTTCGTGACAAGATAGTTGCATTTCAACCATTTTTAATAGAAACAGTATACTAGAAATGTACTGACATTATATTTTTTTTATCGCTAGTTGTTTGTCATCGAAAAACATGTCATTGGTTTCTTAAGGTATTATCAGTTATTCATGAATTAAAGAGCAATGACTTTTAAAAGAATTAATCATAATCGGCCTGTTTCACTAAAATGGATTATCCTCGATTTCGGATTATCAACTTCAGTTTTTTGGAAATATCTCCAGGCACTTAAGGTTATTAAGAAATCTAATGTGTGATAATTGATAAATCTTAACGAAAAACAAAAGTTTAAAGTATACAGACATTTCGGGCATACTTCACTCTATTATAATCCAAAATTACAAATACCACACCTTCCATAAAGTTTAAGATATTTACAAAAAACTGAAGTGGATAATCCGAAATCGAGGATAATACACTATAGTGAAACAGGCCGAATATTCTTGTTGAAATGTTGAATACTGAAATTAACTTTAATGTTTGTAAACTCCGTTTCATATAAAATCTATCTTTGGAAAAGTTGGGAAGATATATTTCCAAAAAGAAACTGAAGTTTGAAATTTTTGAAAATCCAATGTTTTATATAAGTTGATACTCTAAAGCGATAACTTCGTCTTTCTACAAGAAAGTTGAATGTCTTATTGAAAAATAGTAAATATCGTTGTGTTTGCAACTTATTCATTCATATTTTCTTACGTTTCTACAATATAAAATATATAAACTTTTTTAATTAATTTTTTGATTTCATTCAACATCTAAATATGGATCATCCGTTTTTAAATTTTACTGTTCGCATTTTATTAATCTTTGACGTCTTAAAATATAAATCTTGAGAATATTTTTCACATTTAACTTTGTATAACGATTGATACTGAAACGTAAAGTGATCATTTTCTTGTACATGGTTTAAATGTTTTAAAATTTGTTCAAATGTAAGCATTAAATTGATTGAATTTAACAATTGAGCCACTATCCTAAGTAAGAAGATAAAATTGAGGTGAGCCAAATGGTTGATAATGAATTAAATCAATATTTGTAACTCTATCGCGTATATTAATTGATCGAATACGAAAATATTTTTCACATATTTAATGAACTGTATGTGCGAAAATCGGATTTAACAAGATTTAAATCAATTAGCTTAAGAATCTTGGGACAACAAAAGCTTTTGACGTCAACGAGGAGATTGATTGATAGTATTATAAAATCTACAAGTAGGCAATAAACTAGAATTAGAAGCTCCTATTTCTGCAATAAATCTTTCACACGTTGATATTCAGGGGTAAACAATTCTATTGAATTTCAAACTTGATTTAACAAAATTGATATTTTAAGAGTTTCGGATAATTCGAGATTTTAAATCTGCAATACCTGAAAAATATTTCTAATTTAATCAACATAATAATTTTGTCACATTTTGGATGTAAAATTGTATTTAAATATTTAATCGATGTTCATTAAAAATAGAACGTTCAAATATCTTACATTAAAATAGTCAATATGCCTCAGAAAAAAAAACAAAATCGATTTCCGTTCTTTCATGCAAAGGCTTAAAAGATTATGAAGCTTCAAAATATAAAAAAAGAGGAGAGAAAATGAAAATCCGAAGAATTATTCTTTCAATTAGACTTTGATAATAGAGTTATGGAAATAAATTTATGGTTTTAAATATGATTTGTTATAAAATTTTATGCTGACTGAAATTTAACCTGATTCGGCTTTATATTGCCACGGATATGAACTAATGATAGGGATTATTGTGTGAGATATCGCAATAAATAAGAACAAGTCAAGTCTAATTTATATTTCATGATTTATTTACTTGAATTTTGATATTTTCTCAAGCTGAT